ATTTTATTATCAATATTTTTGTGTAATAATATATTATTTAATATAAAATTTTGTTTCCATATATCTCAATAGACAAACTTGCACATGATTTAAAAGTTCCATCCATCAAAATTGTACTCACGTTTTAAAATAATTTAAATATTCTTTTTTACCAAATATAATCATTTCATAATCTTGGTGCATGAAAAAAGAAAGTTCCTCGTTAGTGAATGTGATTTGATCAATTTCTTTTGGGTTTTTGGAAATCTGTTTTTGACTTCGCACTATATGTTCACATAAAGATAAACGTTTTGAAGAACCATTGATGTAAGCTTCTGCGACTATTTCCATGGCGCTTTTATTTTTTGATTTTTATTTCTTTGCTTCTTCTTTCATGTTTTCGGTACACTTTTTGTCAAAATAAGAAGTGGTGTCATGTTCATGTGGAAGACCCTTTTGAGAACCAGTTTCTTCATATCCAATTGTGTTTCCTTTTTTATCAAAAAGCAATCTAATACGTTTTTTACATTGTTGGTATTCGCATTTAAATAATATGCGTTTTTTATCAACAGATCTAAATTTATAACCATTAATGTATGGTTGAGGATTTCCATGTGTTGATGAAATCATTTCAAATTTAGGAGGTTGCTGAATGTCGGATATAACCAATGGTGTGGTTGTTTTATTTTCCATTGAATATTGTAAATGACCTAATACGTTTTATAATAAAATAATTCTATTTAATCATAAAAATTGTATTATTTATAAATATATATATATATACTTTTTATTTATTTATTTGTGTTATAATCAATATTTTATGTTATTAAAATACAAATATTATACAATTATTAACAATTTATAATTATACAGTGTATATATACATATTTACAGTTATTAATTTTATAAATATATATTGTTAATAATTATTTACTCTAATATATAATTATAGAATTTAAATAAAATTATATATTAAATTATTTTATTTATTTAATATAAAAACCATCTCAGATAATAAATATAAATTAACTATAAACATTATATATTTTTGTAATAAATACAATAATACAGATAGATTTATTTTTGTAAACGAGTTTTAAATAAATATTCAACAAAAATTCAAATGACTTGAAATTTTGTTGAAAAATAAAGGCGAAAAAAGGCGAATTATTGAAAAGGCAATTTTTAAAAGAGCAGATTTTCCTAAACCCCCTTTATTTTTGTGAGCATGAATTTCAGATTTTATTTTTGACAATATACTCTTATCTTCAAGTTTATCTTTTTTGTAATCACTTTCTTCATCATTGTACATAATCTGTTTTGGTATTGGTATATCAAGTGTTTCACACAATTTCATAATGTTGTAAACATCATAGAAGTTATCAAAATTACACAGTATTTTATTTTCAAATGTATCAATATTAACATCATTTTGATATTTGTCAATAGGTTGATAAACACCTATTTGACCACTGTGATTTTTAGCTTTTGAACCACATTTCATTATCTTTCCATCACTCTTTTCAGACATTCTATTTGGAACAAATACATCAATATGATATAATTCAGTTGAAATAATTTCAACAACCTTTGGCTTGTTTTTGAGTTCACAAGGAATACGGTCACAAAATGTGTAATAATGGATTCCACCTGATGTTGTCTTTACAATTACTTTATTAAGATGATATTTATTTATAATTTGTTATTTCACTTCTTGTATATCTGGATAGAGATATTAAAATTTTTAGAACTGAAAGGAATATTTTCATCATAATTTGGATTTGGTATTCTATCATGAATATCAAAATCAATGATTGCAACTTCTGAATTATTTAAATGAATAACTGATCATGTTTGTGTTCTATTATCTAGTGTGCCATAACAATCAATTCTTTCGTCACCACATTCATCATCATAGTAATTATTTTTATCTGTGTTAAATTTGAGATACTGATATGTTGGTTCTGTTGATATGTATGGTTTATAAGTGAATTGTGAATTTTCTTTATACCATTTTTGATATTCTTCTTCACTGAGTGTTTCATAATCATCAACAAATATACCTTTGTATTTAATAGTAATATGCTTCTTGTATACAACGTGTTTATTATTATTCTCATCTGTTTCTATATATTTTTCATATTCAGATGATAAATTATTGTTAAATGTTCTTTTACGATCTTCTTTGAAAAATGTTGTATCATAATTTATATTATAAAAATCAGATTCTTCTTCTTTGATATACAATGAAGTACATGTTTCACAATTGTCATTATGAACTTGCATTTTCAAATGAACACCAGACAAAGCAGTTTTATGAAGAGTTAGTCTCACATATTTATAAACAGATGATTTGACATCTTTCCAATATGATTTTGATTCTAATTTCTCATTGAGTTCTTGTAATTGAATTTGATATGATGTTTTTATAATATTATCTTCTTCTTCTTCGATATTTTTATTTATTCTCTTATTCGTTTTTTCAATTGTTTTTCAAGACTCAATATTTCATCAACATTGGAAATTTTCTTATATTGAAGCAGATAGTTTGTTCCATCAATTGTTGTTTCTTTTTCAATAACTTATAGATATGATGACGGACATAATGTTTATTTGTTTTCTTGTTAACTCCTTTAATTTTTAATGAAATGGGTTTATCAATATTGTCATTATTAAATGTTGTATAACATTTTATAGCTAATGCGACAATACTGTCTCCTTGTTTTCCAATTAATGCATTTAACATTATTTTGTGTTGAATTCTTTCCACATCACTGTTCAATACTGGTTTATATTTGTCATCAGAACAATAAAATGAATATGGCAACCATTTGTAAACATGTTTATTATAAAAATCATGATCAATCATAATATGTTTGAAACACTGTTTGTTATCATCTTCAATGTCTCCAGACACCGCAAAGTACATAGAATCAGTATCTCCTTCTACAAAATGGAATCTAGATTGATCCAAGCATTTATTCATGAAATTATAAATAAAATTCAAATGTTAATATTTAGCATTATCTAAAGTTAAAAAAGCACATTGTACTAATGTTGCTATTTTATATGAACTATTGTTTTTAGTTGTAATATACATTGAGTTTGAAATCAATAAAGTATCGATGTGGAAAACTGATTTATTTGATTTGTAAGCACCTTTCTAATCAACTATTTTTGTTTTGTTATAATTGTCTGTTCTCATTCCATCTTGACCATATGATGAATTTGATTGAATCTTTTGGAATAAATCTTTAACTTTATCATTATTTAATATTGCTTCTTGTCTAGTATTCATCTTTTCGGTAACAAATTATGAGAAAGAATCATGTTTAGTAAATGTTACAAACAATTTAATATCTTCTATAACAAATTCAAATTCATCAATAGGAAACCATAAATAATATGAACTGATCATTATGTATGTATCTACTTAACAATTTTCATTATTTTTGTTATAGTCAAAATTATTATTATAGTTTAAATGTATTTTAATTAATGTGTCATATGTTTGTGTGAGTTTTCAATGTTATCGTCAGTTTTTTACTCGTTTTTATACATATAATCATGCATTTTTTCACCAACAATATTATTACTAAGACTAATATCTATATTTCGAATAATTGGTAAAAAGTTGATTCAATGGTTTAATTTCTCATTTGGAACATGTCCTTTGACTTCAACAATAAATTAATCTATTTTCTTGTTAATAATGTATCTAGCAAATTTTTGTTGTTTGTCTGTTAAATCGAACATTGCCATATTAACAGAACCAGGCATGTACATTTTGTGATTTGTATAAGGTATGTTTTCATTTTCAATAGATGAGAAACATGAAGGATAAAGAGAATTAAAATCAACACCAACAAAGTGTGTAATAATATTTGAGTATTGTATATATTAATTATATTATTGATAATTATATATAATTTGAGGTATAGATCTAAAATAATTATTCTAATAAAATTCAACTTATGTTAGTAGTAGTTATAGATAGTCGACTTTAACCGTCAAAATGTTTGTCTAGTTTTTAAAATTATTTTATCATAAATTCAAAAAATATTTTCGACTTTTAAAATATTAGGTGTTTTACACATAAACATGTAAAATTCTTTAGAAAAATAAAATATTGAAAATGGTATATAAATGAAAGCTAATCATTTACAAATAATTTATGGAGGTGAAAGGTGACTATCTATAACTACTAATATAAATATTATGTTGTGTGATTTAAACAATGATTTTAATCTTTCATTAATATGTGCCGAACAAATATCCAATTTAATAACCGCTTTCTCGTCAATGTTTAAACCAACTTATGACCTTTTTTACAATGTAACCTAAAACGCGTTCAATCATCCAAGTTTAGAAATATATTTATTAATTAAACTACTTGTATTTGAATAAACTGTCAAATTTGTAAAATAAAATAATAATAAATTGCTAAAATGTTTGTTAATAATCACCATTTTGTGAATGACAAATTTACCGTCAGTTGATATGCAAACTATTTTTGCGATATCTTGATATTTTAACATTATGTACAACTTCGGTTTTGTTAGTAAACGCTTTAACTTTCAAAATAATCATTGAAACTTATTTGTAGAGTTTTAAGTCTACAAGCTAGACATGTTTTGAAAAAGAATTACTTAAAATGTCCAAAAAATTATAAATTAATTCATTTAAACTTATAAATTAAAACAAAATACTTGTTGTATTGTGTTTGTTTACGATTTAATGTATTTTTGGTACTATTTTATTTTTTTTCAAAATGGTTAATTGGTAAAAACAATATTGATTATAATATTATTTTAAAGTTTATTCAATATAGTTAACATATTTCTATTATATTTAATAATTTGAGAAACTTATTTTTTAATTTATTTCTTTAATTTATTATTTGACTTGATTTCTTTTTTATGTTTTTTTTTTATTTTATATTTTTTATTACAAAGTTTTTACTTTTTTATTTATTAATACATAAAAGAGTGATTTAAAAACACAATTATTGTTAATTATTGTTACAACGATTCAAGTTGTTTGATGATCACATATATTTCACTACGTTCTTTGGGCTTTTGTTTCCACGCATTTTCAATAACTTCTTGATACTGTTTATCCAGTAAATTCACCAAATTTGGTCTTTTACCAACTGAGATTTCATCGGCAATAGACCACGCAAACAAGTATATTGTTTTCGGGAATGGGTTATCCCAAGCAAAACATTCCAACATTGTTATAGCAAACGAATAGACATCTGCTGGTTTCTTATATTTACTTCTCTCCAATATTTCAGGCGCCATATACTTTGGTGTTCCAATACCTTTAGTGAAAGTCATGTTAGTCATCAGCAAATTCACATTTCTTGCACTCCCAAAATCAGTCAATTTTGCATTCACTCCTTCATTGAAGTCAAGTGAAAACACCAAGATGTTGTCCGGTTTGATGTCTCTATGTAATATCCCATTTTCATGTAAATATAAAATTCCTTTTGCTCCATCTCTCATAAATTTAACACGAAGTTGCATATTAATTTGTTCACTCTTCTTATTTGCAATTAAATTTTGTAAACTCCCAAATTGAGCGAATTCAGTGACCATACAGATCTTACTTGGTATAAATACGGCGCCATAGAAATGGACGATATATTCACTTCGGAATTTGTCCAACATATCAACTTCATTTTCAAATTCAATAAGTTGCGACTTGTTTTCATTGAATGTTTTCATCTTCTTAATAGCAACAAGATTGCCTCGTAAAGTCCCTTTGTACACAACACCAAAGGACCCTTCGCCAAGTTTCTTGTCTTCTTTTAATTCGTCTGGGTCAAGTCGTGTAGACAATTGAGCTGTTAGACTGAAATTAATTTCTTTGTATATTATTTTTTGTGTGTCAAATGCAGTTGCAACAAGAAGAAAAGAACTTTGAATTTTTGAAGTACAAAACAAAGTCACAAATATTTCAAATTCACAGGCTTCACCTTTGCCTAAAACAATTAATTGCGGATTTGAAATAATATCAAACTTCTTATTTTGACTCGTATTCGTCAAAATTTGTATTTTCATGTTGTGTTTTGTGGTGTTGCCTACACATATAAGCTCACGTAGTTTCTCATTGACATTCACCTCATCTCCATCATTAAAAACAATTTCCTTTTTATTCACAGCTATGCCATCATTGAGAGAAATAAAACGAATATTCGAATGTGACATTGTAAATACAGTGGTCGTTTTTTCTATTACTTTTCTGTGGCGATTTTTTTGTATTTTGATTAGAATAATGTAAATACATACAACAAACATTGTTATGATAACCAGAACAAATATTATAATAATTAAAATGAACCACCACACCGCTTTTGTATTGCAAAATGTGCCACTCTCACTTGGAACATGCCAGAATGTACATTTGGAGCATTTGGAATTTGCCACTTTAACACAATTGTCAACTTTATTCATTGAAATACACTCTTTGTTCTTATTTAAAATATAATTTGAATGACACGATGTACATTTGGTATTTGATACACTACACGTTTCACAGTTATCATCACACTTCTCACATTCATTTGTTTTAACAGTAAAATACCCATTTTGACACTTTGAACACCCATTTTGTGTCACTTCTAGTTGACACCCAATTAACGAACTCTGTGGTATACAGTCTCCATCTTGTGTTTTATAATTTGTAGAATTGCAAGTCAAACACTTCGAATTTGTGTTACATGTAGAGCAATTTGATATACATTCAATACAGTCAAGACCAACGCGGTAATACCCCTCTCTGCATTGATAACACCCACTTGTGACTATTGCAACTTTCTCACATTTTTTAATTAATTCTTCATTAGAAATGCACTTGTTGTTCTCACCCAAGTAATATCCATTTTTACATGAAATACATTGCGATGATGTTGATACACACGATGTACAATTTTTCATCACATTCAAAACATGATCGACCCGTCCTGT